CATGGGGATACCTCCGAGACATTTCTGGTGGGCAATGTGGATGAATGTGGTAAAAAGTTAGTGGAGGTTGCCAGGAGGTGTAGAGATGAAGCAATTGCAGCTTGCAGAGCAGGGGCTCCCTTCTCTATAATTGGAAACACAATCAGGTAAGCCTTGTGCTGACAAGTAAAGGGAGGGTTGGCAAGTGGTCCAAAGGTTATTGGTGGCTTGGAATAAAGTTGATGACATGTTTTATGATTCAGAACCATCATTTCAGTCTAATATCAGTATGTGAACTGCCAGGCTTCGATGTTGTTACCTAGGTTTAAAAGGGAGGTGGGGGAGAAAAAGTGAATGATACCAGGGTCAGCAAAGAAACTTGTAGGAGCAGTGAGTGATATTTATACAACTGCTTAAATTTTAGCTCAACACAGTGGTCGGTCATAGTGTAATTTTACTTGAAATCATACTAAATCTAAAACTAAGTATATAAGAAGGGGCTAAGGTCCACAACGCTTGGATGATAAGAAAAATCTAAATTAAATGCAGGACAGAAGCAAAATCTAGCCCTAAGATAGGAAAATTTTAAAAATGTTAGCTCAGACAAATATTACCTTTCAAGTTACTGTATTAGCAAACAGTCTGAAACAATGATCTTCTGTCATCATCTTTTTTTTTTAAGAGGGTGAGGATGTCTGGCTCATTTTTCTTGTTTATTTTCCACACACTGTTCTATGCTTGCCTTTTGAATGGTGTATGTGTTTTCTCAATTCAAGATATTTCTTTGTAATCTGTAACCTCCTTGTAGATTCCTCTCCCCCGTAACTGTTCTGAAGTAGACGTATAGAGTATGTGCTTTCACTTAAAAGTATGTAACATGTTTTGCTAACCTACTGTTCTCATTAATACAAACTATTGAATATTTCCCATTTGCCTAAGAGATGGCTTAGTCACCTTAAAAAGATGCTGCCTTCCCTCTCCCCACCTTCAAATACTTAAAGAAAAAAGGCAGTAAAATATCAGTTAAATGTATTTATAGCTTTAAAAACATTGTAACAGTGTCTGAATCAAACTTTAGTAAAATCTCTTTGGGTTATATCTGAGAAGCTTTTATTGAAGACTTTGAACAAAATTGTGTTTTTGACAGTTTTAAATTATAGGCTAACTAGCCTGGGAAAAAAGGATAGTGTCTCTCTGTTCTTTCATAGGAAATGTTGAATCAGACCCCTACTGGGAAAAGAAATTTAATGCATATCTCACTATCTTACTGTCCATGAATATAATAGAAATGAATTCAAAATGCAGTTTTATTTTTGCAAATGGGATGAGTCGATAGATGCACCTCATATTTTTTGAACACCTAGGGTTCAACAAATTTACTGGTGGTGCGCTTGCATTTTAACAAAATTTATTCTTCAGTAGAAGGGGGCAGAGAACACTAGATTCTTATTCAAGCATTCTATCGAGCTCTGCATTCATGGCTGTGTCTAAAGGGCATGTCAGCCTTTGATTCTCTCTGAGAGGTAATTATCCTTTTCCTGTCACGGAACAACAAATGATAGCTAACTACAGAGGCACATTTGCAGTAGTCACATTCATCAACTGCAGAAAAAAAAATTCAATTTAATTGTGCAACACAGCTGCACATGGGCTTTTGAGCATTTCTGTTGTTCTCCCTGTCTCGCTATTCCTCCCTCCAGATCTATTTTTTAAACTTTTTTTTCTGGTTATTTTTCCCCCTTTTTGTCTCTTCTTCCATTTTTACTCTCTGTACTTTCTTGTTAAAGTAATTTTCCTTTGTGGCTCTCATTCTTTTTTCCCCATTGAAGGCTATGAATGTAGAAAATTATCACAATTACTCATATAATTGAGCCTCTTTGTAGCAAGTGCAACTCCAGTAGCCTTTCTCCATCATGAAAATGGTTTCATTATAGGGTTTTTCATATTCTCTGACACCATCTACACAGAGGAACAGGCGTGCAGATGAGATGTACTAGGAACAGGCTAGATCAGTAAGGTCACAGTGGGAATAATTAGCTCTGCTATGGAAAGAGCATCTAGGCCTTTTACTGCTACATAAATGTACTGTCCGTGGCTTTTAGTCACAAAAAAACTTACTAACAAATGGAGCTCCCGCCTACTACTTTGAAAAAAAGATTTGTATCAACACTACAATTTTCCATCATTAAGACTAATAACACAGAGCCTAGTATACATCAAGGGGAATAAAAAGAAAAATCTCACATTCAAGTGGCGGCTGGGTGCTGACCTTTGTTCCCTTTTTTTGTGTACGACTTAACTCTTTACAAAAAAGAGCCACACGCCACACACCAACATGCAGGTGAACTCCAGCTAGTACTCGGAAAGCCCAGCATTCAGTCAGAAAATCTGATAAATCTCCATGCAGGATAATGCATTTCATTACATATTCACTACATTAATTCTAGCTACATTTAAAAAAAAAAAGAAAAAGAAGAAAGAAGAGTACAATTGAAAGTGACATTGGATTTTATCTATCTGGATTCAGAGGTCAGTCTTCACAGAGCACAGATTTGCATGTACAAGATCCTTTGAAAACCTGATCAGTCCCCAACAACTGCACTTAGAAAACTATGTGGAAAAATAATAGACAATGAACTTTCTATTTTTACCCTAATACATTTCGTTATCTACATGGTTTATGTCTGCCACCGAGGAGGAAACGCGCCCCAATTCTAACAAACGTCCTGATGTGTTAAAAGCAAATGTTTCTGGACATCTCTTATTTTTGCCTTTTCTTATTCAGGCAGAATCTTAAGGGAGTAAATAAACAAACAGTTGCCCTCTTAAAGCCAGAAGTACTTGGAATCATTACAAACTGAAGGTTTACAAACACTTTTCAACTCAGTCTCATTTATTTGAAGATATTCACCATCTTTTACATAGCTTCTTTCTGCTGATACACCAGGAAAAGGATATTCAGGAATCTTTTATTGGTGGCTGTGTGTAGCTAAAAACCTGGAGAGCATCATAGGAAACTTGTAAAATCTCTGAAACCTAAACGATGGATGAGCTCTCTGAAAAAATACTGGCAAAAACAGTTTTCTAAAAGAGTTTCTGTAGGCCCTCTTGCTTTGTGAGAGATGGCCAGCAATCTAAAATATCACAGTACTGTTATCCTCACTATATCTGTTTGCTTTAAAGTACTCCTAAATCTGTGTTTTAGTAATTATCTCTAGATGGTATGATTTGTGCCTATGAGAATTCTGTGCATGTGTAGATTTACGCGTCACAAATCTGTGACAGTCTCATCAAAAAGAACTTAAACTTACAGCTGTAAATGCCATGATGAAAGTATCAATAAATGGTTTTTAATGTTTAATTCATAAGTATATGTTTTGATATTAATTTAGAACAATATAAAGCAGATTTTTAAAAATAATCTCTTTCTATTAGATTATGCACATTTAAACAATAAGTGGCTCAGGCAAAATAAGTCATTTTAATGTCATCTGTGATGGATTTTTCTTGACAGCTACTGTAAATTACAATTACACTGCTTCTCCCTGCATGAAAGTAAGCATTGCAATAAATTATCTTTTATTTCAATCCATCATGCCTGCTTTTCAGAAACAGAAAACCTCAAATAAAAGTTCAGCACGATTGTAAGAAAAATACAGTAATTTTTGATCCAGTTTGAAACAAAAAAAAAAGGGCCATTCTTTTGGAAAACAGTCATTGGCGTTCAAAAATACTACTAATTGTACCTAAACATTCCTTGTCCGTAGAGGGAATCCCTGAACTTGAGAATTCCTTAAGTCAAAATAAAAATAAAATAAAAATCTTGAAATAAAATTTTAAACAGCCAAAATGGCTTAAACATAATTCCATAGCTTATAAAAGCAGATATGCCTTGAGATTCTTTATTCTTTACTTAGAGATGTGATCTCTTTAGAGACTGGTGGTATTTGGGGTTTATCTGGAAGCAACAAACTATTTCTCTCTCTTATACATTTTCCCTTATTTGTAAGAGTATGAACTTAAAGATACTGCTCTCCTTCCTCATAGAGAACATACTAGTCCTAGAAATAGAGTTGAACTGTATTAAGTAATTTAATCTCGCTAAACATTTCAGTTGAATACAACTGCCTCATGATAGTGCATCTAATTGAAGAAAGTAGTTACTAGGTAAAATTTGAGATGTTTTTCTTTCAGTTATATAAATGTAACCAAACATGTATAATAACCAACTATAGGTTAGAAGTTTAGAACTGCTTCTCCCTCTTTTCCTCCTCTCCAAATACTATGTATGAAGGGCTTCAAATCATAAATCCACTCAGGCTGGTTGATAGGTGCTGTACTGTCTTAGGAGAACTTTGAGTTGAGGAAAATAAGAAGAGTTATTCCCCAGAGAGTTTCTTTTCAGCAGAGTTCTGCAAAAAGAAGTCAGATGTCAATGAAATGACCAGAGTGAGAAGATCACTGTGTTCAGAAATGAGTCATGGTCTCCAAGGCTGGAGCAACCCACTACTTTTTGGGCACTTCATGCCTGCTCAGCTCTTCCCATGTGTCCCACTGTGCCATAAAGTGGGGCACATGTCCCTACCTTTCCATCCACGAGTAGTCTTCCCAGTACTTACTAAAGGAGTGGGATTTGCTACGACAGGTCTCTTTGGCTTGTCTCTATGAAGTAAGATTTTAAACCCTACAATCAGATAAATAATTGAGTGCTTCCCCAAGTGTCCAAGAATAGAAGAAGGAGCATGACTTGAAACTGTAATTAGGAACTTTAATGTGATTTTATCCCTTATAATTCCAACAAATATGTGTTAAAAAAAACAACCCTCCCAACCCAAAAGGAAAATACCTCAAAAGGCAGAAAGAAGTGTATACTTAACTCCTTGAAATTGAGCATTGAGATGGGCACATGGTGAGAGAGATGGGAGAAATGTCTTTTCCACCCAGCTGTGAAATCCTCTGACCTTTGCATCCAGGATGCAGACACATCCATGATGCTCCCAGAACCAAAAGTTCCAGTGAGATCTGAGGAGTAAATTGTTGTAGGAGAGCGATCTCAGATATCTTTAGCCACCTAGTAATTGCACAGTTTCTTTTATGAAGAGGAATGAGAGGGATGATGGGGGGAGCTTCCTTGCCTCCCAGAAATTAAAATGAAGATGCCTATTGTAACATGTATTTAAGATGTAGGTGTGATGCCTGCCAATCAGTTAGATGCTTAATAATCATAATTCAAAAACAAAACAAAACAGTATTATTATTTGTTTAAAGAAAAGAATCTGAGATTTGTTATAATAACATCATTTACAATTGAGGTAGAACTCATTCTTAAATATAGATAATGTCTTTTTTAATAATTTCTTTTCCACTCTCTATCTAACTTCCATCTTGGGTATTTGGTTATTTCTTGTGTAATATAACTAAAAACACTTTAGAAAAAGTGTTATACCTTTTCCCCAAAGTACAAGGAGCCACAGAAAGAATCATTACCATATAGAACAATTTAAGAGATTAAAAACACTGACATATTTCTGTCCCCAGCACATGCATGATTTATCTATTTCTGTGCTGTTACAAGGCAATTAAATCTGAACAATAGGCTGCTTATCTGTGAACTATAGTTAAGATATTTTACAAGTCTGTAGATGAAGATTAAAACTATTAAGAGAAAACCATATAGACATGAATGCAAAAGATGATGATTTTGCGTTTATAGTAAAATAAACCTGGAGTTGGCTGGGAACTTCATAGTTTGGTTTCTAAGATTGTGATTTTACTAAGAATTAAAACTACAGTTTGTAAATTCTAACCCACTGTTATACTTAGGATTAGGGCACTATGATTGTTACCCAAATGAAAATGTAAATTGTTGATGGAATATGTGTTCTTATTTTTCCAATGTTCCAAGAAATAAGCATGTTCTCTTGACTTCCAGGCAGCTTTTCAGTCTTGTAGATGAAGATTTTGGGTTGGTATCTTTGTACTAGATTTCTTTTATATGGGTTAGATGAAACCTACAGTATTTCTATAATGAAATAACCAAGTTATTATGAATTAGAAATCAAAACACTCACGTCTCTTAGTATCATAGAGATTAAAAAGCATTTTTTGTAACTTCTGTTAATGGTATAAATCTTACCTAATCAAAAATTTTTGGAGTTTCATGCATATCAGCAAAGAAGAGTAAAACTTTCCTGTTAGTGCATCTATTTGTAAATTGCACACTGTTTTGAAATAAGTCAGAATAAAAGGAGCCATAGAAGTAGGAAGTTACATTGTTAGACTGTATTTTTTTTTCTCTGTTTGATTCCCAAGTCATTTGTAGTTTACACAGACCTTTTGTGAAACTCCATAAAAATCAGGAAGTTTTTTATGACCTGCATTATGTGCACATATATCTTGGCTGTATATATTCAGTCTACATACATAAGTATGCATGTTCAGTCATTTGTTGTCTAAAAGTGGCCTTGTCTGAATGCTCTACAAAGATAAATGAAGCAAATTACCAAGTTAGACACATACTTTCTTGTTTCTTATAGCCAACGGAAATTGTTAAAAGCAACAGCAAAAAGAAAATCATTCCAGAATAATGAAAACATTTTAATGTTCTTATCTGACTAAATATTTCCTGATTTTTTTCCTTTCCAAAGGATATACCTATTTTTAAATTTGCAAACAAAATTAATTTTGCAATGTCTTACCTCATTATTTAAATTAGATACGATTGGAGAAATCCCGGATAACTTCTTTTTTTTTCTAATTCATTCATTGATTGTTGCACATTCCCC